CCTCAACTCCTTTGGTTTAAACAGCATACTATTATTTTCTAACTAGCAAAATTTCTGTCATTTTCACAAGTAGAAGGAGCACTAGTTGACCAGGCAGCTGACTGGATGTTAGTCATTCCATAGACCAGTTGTTATACTGGAAAAGATATTTAACCTCTCTGAGGCTTGGTTTCATCTTTTATTAAAATAATAATGTCTACTATTTATAGAGTACTTTTACAAACATTAACCAAGAAAAGTTCCATAAGTCTTTAAGGGAGTTAAGGGATTATAATTTTTACTTGATATTAGAGAAAAAAGAAACTCAGAGAAGTTAAATGACTAGCCACAGATTACCGATATAATGAGTACTTCTTAAGTAGAAAAGGTAGAACTTGATATAAACCTCTGACTGCTATGCCTGCTGCTCTTTGCAAATCATTTTATTGGTTCCACAAATCATAATCTGTCAAATACAAAGATTTCCTTTGAGCCATAGAGTTTTGTTATTCTATGATGTGAAAGATTTGCAGATGGAATAAAGATTTAGGGTAGGCAGTTCCTTGGAACCTAAACTATCTTACAAAATGATCAGTGAAAGAGCCCAGGAAAAGATTGGTATTTAAGTGTTTCTCCAGAAATATAAGTATAAAGTTCAAAACAGAATGTGTGTCACTTTGAGATGTAATAAAATATAATATATAATCATGATATAATATAAAAGATAAAAACTGGATTTCAGAGAGCACCATGTCTAATCTCCTCAATTGTGAAAAATAATTTTAAATTGTTTTGTTTTTGAATATATTATTTCATTGATTGTGGGTAAAAACTGGGTAAAAAAGTGGTTTCTGATTATAGTATAATGAGATTGATTTCCAATGACCCTGAAACTTTGAGACACTTAGAGACACTGAATAATACAATGGAAAGCATATAAGTCTGTTTTGCATCAGATAGGCCTAATTCCCACTCATTGTAACTTTGAGAAACTAATTTAATATCCTTTGTCTTCATTTTTTTTCATCTATAGAGGAATCTACAGATAAATATCTATCTGCCATAAAGGGTTACAATGACCATTAAATAATATAACACTGAGTCAAACTGCCGAGCACAATCCCAGAATAGAATAGACACTCAGTGGAAGTGGATTAAGTTTCCCCAAGTAGGAACAATGCAGATATGCTTTCCTGAAAGCTAGGAAATAATTCATGAAAGGCCAAATAGTCTCTATTATAATAAAATGGAACTACAGAAACATAACCAGGTTTTATGATCCAATAAATTAAAAGCAAGTTTTCATAAAATTTATTTTTAAAAGCATATTCCAGGATATACCTTCAAGTCATTAATCAGTCCCGTATGATGTTGATTATCAAGAGAAGACTTTAAAGAAATTTGATTTCAAATTCCATGGCTTGTCTGAATTTCTAGGGAGCTCACTGGTGGAGACATGGAAGATCTCTTAATGGCCTCCTAAGGACTTGATTTTACTTCTGTCTTGACACTTCAGATCTTTGTTTAGAAAAAACTATTTGTTTTGCAAAATTCCAGTGAACCCAATAACTGCAGAAGCTATTTCTGTTCTCCCTTGTCAAATCTGAAAAATCCCTTGGCTGTTCATATGAGCAGAAAGAGCCTGCTGTCATGCTCTATCTTACTACCATCATCACAAATATACCTAGCATATTTGTGCTAGGTATAGAGGGTATAAAGAATTTTAGATATACTCTTCACATTCTTCCCATGCATTTGGAAAGGTAGAGCACATGCATAAAAATAAATAAAATACAAATGAATCTACACCAACTACCAACTGGTTCACGTTCTACCATGTCTACTATAGACACTGTAGGCATTTAAATGAATTGGCATAAAAGGGCTCTGATGGCAGGAGGAAAAGTTTACAACAGGAAGTGAAATTTGAGCAGGGTGTGTTCAGAGGGGGGATAATATGCATAAATTATAAGGATAGCAAGATAAATACCCTTGGCTTAAGGGGAGTGTTTTTATAGAAGAGTAGTAGAAATTTCATTTGAAAATATAGATAGGAATTATATTTTAGAGTACCCTGAATGAAGATTTAAAATCTTTGCTTTTTAAATCTGAAGGCTGTATAAGAGTATTGAAGGGTCAGAATAAGTGAGCATGTCTCTGAACTTCATTAACTGTTATACTGTGGTTGATACTGTAGAATCATGATTAAGAGCCTTCTCCTGCTTCTTATCCTCAGCATAAAGTTTCTCTTTTTACTATAAAAGCATTGCATTTTTATTAGAGAAATGTCAGAAAATACATTAAAACTAAAAGAAGAGATGTGTAAAAGCCACAGTCTCATGTTTAGAAACTTTTTTGATCCATATAGATGGATACATTCTCTGTCTCTCTGTCTCTGTCTCTGTCTCTGTCTCTCTCTCTCTCTCTCTCTCACACACACACACACACACACACACACACACACAGTCTTGGGGGAATCCAACCCTGAGAAGGCTAACCTGGGATTCAGAAGCTCCAGTATGTGTGTTAAACCACGTGGAGACTATTTACAGGAAAAGTTTTGGCTGAAACATTTTATGTGGAAGCGAGTGGGTGTGAAAGAATAGTATTAGGGTAGGAGTCAGCTAATTTTTTATATAAAGAGCAAGATAGTAGATATTTTGAGTATCATGGGCCATGTTTTCTGCTGCAACTGCTCAACTCTGCCATTGTAGTATGGATGCAGCCATAGATAATATGTAAATTATGAGTTTGACTGCATTCCAATAAAGCTTTATTTTGGGGAAATGAAATTTTACATAATTTTCAGGTGTCAAGAAATATTATAATACCTAATTGGTTTCTGTTTTAGGAGCAGCAGAAGCCAACATAGATATCAGTGTTCTATCATAAGTCACCAGGAGAAAAGACAGTGAAAAGCAACCAAAAAGGGGGTGTTCTACTAGAATAGAAAACTAGAGAATACCTATGATGAAAAATAAGTCACCCTATGGGCATTCCCAGAAAAATTTTAAGGATTTCATAGGAATTGGCATCCTTTAGCTAGAGGAAGACAATGTTTTAGGTTTTTATTAATGATGTGATCCGATTAATCATCTACAAACTGGTGAGGCGAGGTCTGAAGAAATTCAAAATACAAACAATATGTGTGTGTATACATGTATATGCCTATTTTATACAAACATGAAGCCATCATATATATTGTTAAGCAACCTTCTTTTTTTTTAATATGAAATTTATTGTCAAATTGGTTTC